TTAGATTTTTTTTTCTTAACCATTTATAGCTTCTAGGATTTTGGGAAAATCATTTAACTACCCAGTCTGGTCTCCTCATCTGTGTAATTAGTCTAATAACTATTTTTCAGATCAAATGAGAGCGGCATAAAGTACAGTGCCGACATATGGAAGTTCTGTTTCTGGGAAAGATGGGGAACCTTTTGTTCCTTCCTTTGTATTTAACTTCTGCTCGGAAATGTGATCTTGGAAGAAGCTCCAGGGAAGGGTAAGAGAGTGGGGTGGGGGGAGGGAAGGAGAAGGGAGAAGGGAAGAGAAGAAAGAAGACTGGGCATAGGACCAACATTAAGGGCTCTAACAAAACCGCCATGAATTATCATTCACTCTCTCCGCTTCTGCCTGTCCTTTCCTCGAAGGAGCAGAAACCCAGAAGTACGTATCAAATGGAGATGAAAGGAAGCTCCAAGGATAAAGCTCATTCTTTTTCCAGCCTAAGGAACAAGAAGGTGAACTTCTAAGGTTGGAGGAGAATGGAGGAAATCCCCTGAATCTTTCTCCTTCTCTGCTTTCCAGGCTCCAGGCAATCACATAGTGATGGTGGAGTTAAGCACAGAATTTGGTGGAAGGGGACCTGTTCTTGCTAACCAGAGCTGGGGTTCCAAGAGAAGGAGGCAAATCCCCACTGCTTTCTGTCTCTGCCATCCTACAGCCTGACCTCAGATGGAGACAAAGCCATAGGCAGCTCATGGAAACCCCAGGGAACCAGGAAGGAAGGTGTCAGGAAGCTGCAGTTCTGAGGTCACCAGGACAGCCATCAAGAGAGCAATCCTAGCTGTGTCTGAACTTCTGGGCTACCTCTGGGCCAGGAATTTTCCTAACCTGCATGGATTTGACCCTCAACAGAGTGCAAAATTAGCCACAGGGAAGGTCTCAGACTAGACACTTTGTAGCACACACAAGGCATCCCTACAACTGGCACTACAGATTATTTATTTGTTCACTTATTTTTATGTATTTAGTACAGGGTCTCACTACACAGATTCTATTTTTCACTTGTGATTTGAAACGTTTGAAGAACCAGGAAAACATTTCAAATCACAAGTGAAAAGTCAATAACACATCAATTCCAAGATGATGCAGATGCTAAGATTGCCAAAGACTGAAAATGACTATTAAAACAATGCACCAAGAAGTAAAGACAAATACTCTTGAAATTAATGAGGAGACAGAGAAGCTCAACAAAGAAACAGAAGGTGTGAAGAGGAACCAAAAGAAATTATAAACCTAGAAAATACAATAGCTGAACTTAAAAATTCTCTGGCTGTACTTTCCATAAATTGAGAGAGAGGGTATGTCAAGGATGACAAATTGTACTATTTCTTTTTCTCAAACAAAAAGAGAAAATGGCTGACCAAAAATTCCAGAGTCTCATGTTGGTAAGTGAAATAAATCAGGTCCACATGGGCAAACGCTGTATTGTCTCAGTAGTGTGAGAACCTCAAAGAGCACATAAATTAGAAAGGAAATAATTTGTTCAATGGGAAGGAAAAACTAGGATGAAGAAAAGGTCAAAAGAAAGAAGGGAAAAAGATATACCTATGTATACACGCAGTAGAGTTTGGGTAATTGTACTGCCAATTTCTGCTGGTCTTTTGAAAGGAGTAGTTAATGCTTAAAATTTTACTACTTTTTAAAAAAAATTTCTTATAACTTTTTTGTTATTGTTGTCTTTTTTCTTTAAACCAATATTGCCCATTTATATCTGGTAACCTGAACAACTAATTTGAAGATAACATCATGTAATACAGCAACCATTGTTGAATTCCTATTACTATGTTTAGTGAAATTTTGTATTATTTCTCATGCTTTTTGTTTTCTATTACCATTTTGTATTCTTTAAAAAAAAAAAGTTCCAGAGTCTCAGGTACCTGTAGGACAATATATGGAAGTCTAAATTTTTGTCATCAGTCTCAGAAGAAAAAAAA